AAGGTGCTGTGCAACCAATCAAATGACTGGTTAAGATCAGAGTTGTCTTGTAGAACCATTATTTTGGGCGATGACTAGCCTGAGCCATCCTGAGTACTATGCTAGTGGAGGGTTCCATCATTATACATGTTGCAGTAACCCAAGTGAAAGGAAATTCAGAGGAAGAGAGTCACTAGTGAATATCATCAAAAGGATAACAAGGAACAATCATCAGATTGATAATAAGCATTAACCATAAGATGGATAATAAGTGTTGATTATCAGATGGATAACCATAACACTTATTATCCACCCAAGGCATGGTGACTGATGGTTCTGACAGCAGTGACCTAGCCTTGAGAGGGCCTGGCGCAACTTGGAACAAGAACTTACAAATGTGAGATTAAGGCCAGTGTAGGACTTGGAGTCCTTGTAGTCTTGTAGAGGCTATTTTTGCAGCACCCCATAGGTCCCTGCACAGTGTGTGCTATTGATATCTCAGTGTGCCTCCTATATATTGTCGGCCAACGGTCACGGCTCACATGCACATATTAATTGTGTTGGCTCCCTTTCAGTTCCATCATGTGTCCTTTCTCTGTCCTATCCATGTCCTCTGCTTGTCCATTGGTGCGTATTATACTTTTTTGTACTAGACTGACATATCTCCGGTGCTATGTTATTTATATTTTGATTACTTGCATTATGAACCCTTATTGCATATTACCGTTATCTACTTGGCTCCGAAGAGCACTTAGCACACTATCATATATACTGGTACTTAGGAATTTTTCATGAATCTATCTCTCTCCCACACACAAAATCTAAACATCTACTTGCACACAATAACATTCCAACTCTGAACAAAAAGCAATTCTCATATCATTGTATGCACTTCTCAAACAGCCACACTAATACACTCACCTTGTTTACTTTTCACTACCAATTGATACTTCCTTCGGCTGCTCTATCTTTATGCTTTGCAACTTTCATGCTTACCTTCATTGCCGTTGACCTGCACCAAACTGGTTTGGTGCATGGATGACTAATGCTCTCCCATGAGCCTAATACCCTAGAAATCACTACGAAACCATTTCCCTCTATTCTAAAGCCAGAATGCAGCTCAGACAAATATTTCATTTCATCTTTTCAATGGAACTCGGACGGGCTGAATATTTTTGTATATTTAATTCTGCGATGAATTTTGCTTAGTCATCCTCAACAATGACTCAGGCTGAATCCCACACATGTCAGGTGACTGTGAAAAATAGTTCTCGCATGGGTTACCCTGGGAAAACTTCCTCAAAACCCTAAATACTTGCCTTGCGTCATTTTCTCATTCAACAAAGTGACATCAGAACGGAACACCAATGATCATGAATATTTCTCTTGCAGTGCACAATCAGCCTGTCACATGACCCTTCAGTCACATGATGCTAAATCACATGATCTTAAGTCAGGTGATTTTTGATCCAAATCAAGTGATGACAGAACACTCAGCCCAAGCATGCTGACTAATACTGACTAATTATGGTCTCATTTGGTGCAACATAAGCAACCCCTGCAAAATGATTTTTGGTACCGCTGACTAAGCTCACCCCTCATAGATGGCGGGAAAACGTAGCACAGCCACCCTTTTTTTTGTATATAAGACCCAAATTTTTGCCCAAAGAAGAGAGCTTTTAAGCCCCACTTTCAGAATAAAATTGTGTGTGAAGTGTGATCATTGTCAACAACAGTGACCAGGGCTGTCAAGTACCTTCAGCAAAGTCATTGTAACCAGTAGTCAGCCAGCAACTTTCAGTAACCAGCAAGCCCCTAAGCTCATCAGCATCAGCATTCAGCAACACCCTTAGCTCATCGCCACCCACGAACGACCACATTATCAGCCATTGGTATTTGTCTGAATCACTGACCGTGGAGATATTTGTTTTTATAGGTGTTTATCTATAGATCATCTATCTAAGAAGACATTTCTGGAGCCCACCGTGGTGGGGTGGTATTTTTTCAAGTTTAGCTAGACCAAGCACATTCAGACCAGCCTTGTCATTGTATTAACACACACATTCACATCGCTCACCATATATTGTTACCATGAGTACCCAACCAGTTAACTCAGTACCTGTTCAGCCTATACAGCCTGCTCAGCCTGCAGCACCTGGACATACACCACTTATTCTACCATTGCCAGGAGGTAAACATGCCCCAGCCAAGTTCAAGGGCAAGTATAACCAAGTCAAGAGATTCATTCGTCATTACGAGAGATTATGCAACCAACTTCTAGTCACAACTGACCAAGAGATGTGCGAGAATGTTACCTTGTACTGTTCATCACACATCACACGACTCATAGAAATTTTGCCAAGCTTCAGAAACAACAACTGGGCTGATCTGAAAGCAGACTTTATCAACCTCTTTGATGCGGATCGTGATGCCAAGAGGTACAAAGTTCGTAGCCTAGTAACCTTTGTCAACAAGCATCGGTCAGCATCTATAAGGACATTATCAGACTGGAAGAAGTATACTCGGGACTTTGTGTCCATAGGAGGATGGCTGTTAGCCAAAGGTAAAATCTCAAGTAACGACCATGCTACCTATTTCTGGAAAGGCATACCAAGGACATTGCGTTCCAAGATTGAAACACGGTTATTAGCAGCCACACCCCTAAGAGATATGACAACCCCTTTCACCTTCGATGATGTATCCAAAGCAGCAGAAAAGATCCTGCAACGTGATCGCTTTGATACGGACTTAGTATATTCAGACACAGATGACTCAGACAGTGAAGACTCAGAAAGCTCTAGTGACACAGACTCAGATACAGACTCAAGTTCAGATTCGGAGGAGGAATATCGGAAGAGAACTAAATCTTCAAAGAAAGCAAAGCATAAGAGGCACTTACCCACCAGTAAGACCATTTTGCGTAAGACTCGCTTTGAGGATGAAAGTTCAGATGAAGAAACCCCTATTGCCAAAACCCGAAAAGCGGTCCATAAGCAACGTACTGCTAAGCATAGTCCTCATGAGGAGGTAGAAAATCTGATTCAACAGCTAGGAAGGATGAGGATAGGAGATGCTAATTATAGCACACTATACTACAAAGCTATTACCTTGGACCCAGCAGTGAAGGATATTATTGAAAGTCCATTGGACTGGAAGAAGAAAGAATATTCCATGGGTCTACGAGATAGTAGATTCCCTAGTGCCAGATTCACACCAAGAAGCAATCCCACCAATAACATGAACAATGGTACAAACAATGCATTCAGAAGTACTAACAATGTCTACAATGTACCTAGTAATAGAACTACAAACACCCCTAACTACCCTAATACCCCCTATCCTCCCAGAGTGACAACCTGTTTTGGATGCGGAGAGAGAGGGCATGGATTAGTAGGATGTCCGAAGATAAACGAGCTACTTATGACAGGCACTCTGAAGAAATCGGAGGAGAATGGAAGGATCGAGTTACCGGAAGGAGTGCCCCTGAGAAGATGGGGAGAGGAAACACTGCTTCAGGCCTATGACAACATGATGTGATCAGCGAAGACTCACTTTGTTACATGGCAGAATGAATCGGACAGTGCTGACAAACAGAGGAGAGACATAACTATTGGACATTAGGATATAAGAGTGATGACGAAAGTGAGGAGGAAGGAATGAGAGCTTACCTGGCCTACAGAACACAACGGGAAGGTGCGCGCAAACGAGAAGAGGTGTTCGACGGTGTCTATCCATCGAAGGGACGTGGCACGCGAGAAGAGATGAAAAAAGAACAGTGTCAGCATTACGAATTATGAGGAGACCGGCAGTACACACCAGGGTCAAGGCAAACACCAACTTTCAAGCCTCCACACGCATCTCCTGCGGCACCGGTGATCGAAAAGTCCTTGACATCGTCGAAGGCAGCAGCGCCAGAAGCACGAGAGTTTAAGGTAGCTGATTCTAAGAAAAGCTCTGAGTTAGTCAGGAATCCTCAGGGAAACCTCAGGAACGAAGAAGAGAACGCACCTTTACATGCCAAAGAGAATGTGAGAGGAGAAGGAAGAAAAGGAATGAACGAACCAAAGAAAGTCTTGACGCGGGAAACGGTGCTGCCGGTGCACATTTCCAGAGAGTGAGTGTGGTACGACGCACAGGATGATGATGTAGTAATGGAAGATGAGCTGTTAGGAAGGATTAATGTCAGTGGAAAAGGGAAAGCGCAGCAAGAGAAAGGAAAAGATAAAGACGCACCTAAAGAAAGAGACTTGGTTCATAAGCAAATGGATCATGTAGTCGAAGCTTGATCAGGAATCCGACGATCGGAAATAGCTGACGGCATTGATGCGAAGTCAGTATTGAATCGAATTTTGAGTGTGCCAGTCGAACTTACTACTGGAGAGATTCTTGGAGTGTCGAAAGAACTATCAGGGCTTCTGGCAGAGTCGATCCGACCCAGGACAATGGCAAGAAGAGACGTTCACCTGGCATATAAACCAATGGAAGGGAGCAAAGGAATGGCTGACGGTTTCCGAGTTACGGGAAGTCCCGAAGCCCGAACAAAAGAAGTGTTAATAGAACTACCAATCAAGATTCATGGGAATAGCCTAAAAGCAGTAATAGACACCAGCAGTCAGCTAAATATAGTTTCAGAACAGATGTACGAGAAGCTTATCAATTTGCCGATCAAGCAGAATGAGACCCTTGTGTTGCATGATGCAAACGGAGGTAAAGGACGCCTAAAAGGACTTGTGTCCCAGGTACCCATTAAAATTGGGGCAGTACTTACCACAGCGGAGATTTATGTAGGACGTTCAGTACCATTCGATATTCTATTGGGACGGCCATGGCAAATACATAATTTAGTATCTATACATGAGCGCCCTACAGGTACCTGGCTCGAGTTTGGAAATAGTCCTACCAATGAGGAAGTTTCCGAGGTTTTGGTAGTACCTTCCAATAATGGAAGGAATTCAGAACATGACGCAAGAAGCTGGAATATTACATGTTCGGAAAGTTCCGATATCAATACAGTGTATCATATGACGTCTGAAAATAGCACTTACATCAAGCTGGAAGCAATAGAAGCGGCAGTTCCTGGAGAAGGAAGTCACAAGCGTGCCCTGATGAATTTTCAGAGCGAAATTGTGGGGCAGATAGACAAAATAATAGACAGCTGCATGACATTGCTTGAGGCTACCCTGCAGCCTCCAGAGGATGCCAATACTACAAAAACTATAAAAGACAGCCCAGAAACTGAGACACCAACAGAGATACACACCCACATGCCTCCTACACGTGCCATCACACTTTTTCAACCCAATCCAGTTATACCTAAGTATGCCGGCTCTAGTGCCAATCAGCCTATCATTCATCCCGGACACCACGCTTACCGGCACACTGCCAATATTCAACACGCTCACTCCATAAATGGCAACCACGAGGCGGATTACTTGGTCCTGAACGGATCTCAATTCGGAAATCTTAGGATGGATGCGAAGAACATCATAGATTACATTCCAAGTATAGTAGTCCATTCTAACTTCGCAGCGCATGACGTCATCTCCCAATGTGGGAATGTAATTATACCCATATTTGAGCTTCCCGTCGATGCGAGGCAGATTCGCTCACCTACTCCGCTTGGCTTAGCCAAGCGACTTTCACCCGGTCCCTTTTTTAAGTCGTATGACGACGACGTCAAGCGTTCGCTGGGCCAGGCGACCATCCCACTTCCCACTATTGAATTCGATGACCTCATTCACATGTCTGAACGCGACATTCTGAACATCCTGGACTTGCCTATCACTAGGGACACCTCACACGGCTCACTCACTCGCGAGCCCAGGACGCTTGCACCTGTGTCGATGACACTTAGGAACTTCCGTGACGAAACCTCGTCTTGTCGAACTGCGGAGAGAGATGTGAAAGAGAACATGACTTTGAGTGTGGATGATCATGAAGTACGTCGAAAGAACTCACTGAAGTCGAGTATCCCGAGCCCGCCCAGGGTATGCACACTTGCACCCTCTCTGCCTGCACCACCTAACAACTCGGCCGCGCAGACACCAAACGTTTCAGATGGGGAACCCCCATCTGAAGCTGCACTCTTTCACCAAGCGTTAGTGGTGAAGACGTGGCTCATCGCACTTGACAAGAGCACAGCATCCTTTGGACGCACCACCTCTCACAGCCTGACCATCCACGAAGAAGAGTTTTCGGATGATGGGGAGCTTGTCAGTGCGAGTGACTCCCTCTCGTCGTGCGCTGACGACAACAACAACAACTTACCCCCAACCTTGCTCATGAAACTGGACACAAAGGTACCCCTGAACATTACTCATATCCGACACCTCGCAGAAGACATTGCTAATCCATGGTCACACAAGTGCATTCCCCAGCTCATTCCCTCCCTCGTATTTAGCAAGACGGCAGACTCCCTCGAAGAACCTGACGAGGACGAGGACATGTTCGACCAACTCGAGCCCACTCCCTTCAGCATCCAGTACTGTGAACACTCCTATGAACCTCTCCCTTTTCATGGCTCTTACGATTTATTCACCACTCAGCGTCTTGTAGCGCTTTGCAGGACTCTCACTGGGAGTATGGCCTCCCAAGCCGTCCAAGAACTCGGACTGGAAAAGGCTGCTTTCCACACCACCCGTCCCAGTGCCATCTACCACTATCATACATCGACATACTACGAGCACGTTCCCCGTGGCAAATCCAGACTTTGCACCTGCATTATGGACCTCAGGAACATGCGCGTCATGGCACGAAATGTCTTACAGCTCGTTCATGCCACACTCACCCCATCTCAATCGCAGGAGTGCATGGAGGAGCAGATCATACTCCTCATCATTGATGGTGTGCGCTGCATTCCTGCCAGCATCAACCGTGCTGCCTTCTTCATGCAACTTTGCCCAGCTGCCAACCCTCTCTTCACCTTAGAAGAATTCGCGTACTTACGCACCGCAGCTGGGTTATTTCGCTTTTTCGGACACTTCACCATTGCAGATGCCATTGACGACTTATTACAATGCTCCCTCCCTGACGAGGACATTGTATATACACTTTTGCAGAACTATTCACTTGATGACTTGCGAGGCACTGGTGTCTCCCCAAGCAAAAGCTTGAAGTACCTTCTCAATGTCGCAGAAGCTTGGTGCGAGAATTCCTTAGAGGTTAATCATGTTGGCCCATGCTATTTGGAAGGGTAGGCAGGAGGTATCTTGTCATCGTTCGTATTGATTCACACAATGTTTTGGATTAACGTTTGTACAACTACTGTAACATTTTGCCTTGTACCTGACTCTGTCTCATCTCACTATGTACGTCACGTGCCTTACTTTTTGACCTTATGTCTGAAATTACCAATATCTTTTGATTGATCTTGTACTTATATCACGATCGCTTCCCTGTCAGCTTGTGTTTGTTTCTGTTTGCTATGAAAGAAGTCTCGTTCGAAGCTCGAAGCTTCCCAAATGTACCTAGTTACCCATATATACATAATGAATCTAAATTGATTCATTGAAAGGACGTGCTAGATTGAAGGTCCAGGGACTGTGTGGAAGAAAAACAACTAAGTCCTTGTGCATCTTGGCACATCAATAAGTGACAATGTCAATACATCATATATTTCCCTGCAGCTCCTTTTGAACTAAACTAATAAATATTTCGACAAGTCCAGGGTTAAGCCACCGCCTTCCTGGCAGTTCTGACCCTTCAAATTCTCAAATTGTTCAAATTACCTCCTATTTAGAGCACACATAAAACTTAGTCGCTCAAGTACCCGTCAAGCATAATTTGACAAGCACTGGCTCATAAGCCAAGGACCCTTACCAACCCTTTCAGTTTAAGTTTCGCAAAGCCTAGCCCCACATTAAATTCTAGACAGACGTCAGAATATACACAATCAACCGCCCAGACTATACCCTTAGCAACAGTAATGTTAGCAGAAATGCAATATTCGGAGGCTGAAAACCCACACCATGTATTCTACGTGCGAGCCGATAACATCCACACAGATTCTGAAGAAGATAGGGAAGGAAATTTTGAAACAAGAGACTCAGGAGAAGAGGATGAAATAACCATATGGGTGGATAATATTTCAGAACATGTTGAGCCTGGAGATTCAATATGGGCAATGACCAGTGATGAAGAAGAGGATGAGGGGATGTTCTGGACTCCCAAGGAAATCTCTGACTACAAGCAGGATAGCAAAGACAAGGTGAGTTCATTCACAATGTACAAGAAAGTCAACAAGAAAGTACGACCGGTACCAGGAGTATTTCCCCAGGAAGCCCAAGTAGTGAGGCAATTTCCAAATGACCCTTTAGCAACTCTCCCACCCCTATCTCCTAACCCTCCAGATGTGATTCCTACCAAGAAGCTCACTACAGAACGACTTGAAGCCTTGAACATCAACTCGAAAGGATTCTTACACCCAGAAGAAGAGAAGCTGTTTCGACATATTATGTGGCTGCACCAGGATGCGCTAGCATTTGAGGACACAGATAGAGGTACTTTGAAGGAATCCTACTTTTCACCCTATATTATTCCTACTGTTCCACATATTCCATGGGAATACAAGAATATCCCAATTCCACTGGGAATACGAAGCAAAGTTATAGAAGTACTCAAGCTCAAAATTGATGCAGGTGTCTATGAGTCGAGTCAGTCTGCATATAGATCACGATGGTTCTGTGTGGTCAAGAAGAATGGAAAGCTAAGAATAGTCCATGATCTACAGCCTTTGAACAAAGTCACCATTCGCGATGCTGGATTACCCCCTATTCTTGATGATTTTGTAGAACCATTTGCAGGAGCACAATGTTACACCGTGTTTGATTTATTCTGGGGATTTGATGCTAGAAAGCTTCACCCATTGAGTAGAGACCTTACAGCATTCCTAACTCCCCTAGGACTACTCCGTATTACTTCACTCCCCACTGGATTCACCAACTCTCCTGCGGAATTTCAGAAGTGCATGACCTTTGTTCTCAAGGATGAAATCCCTGACAAGGCCAACATATTCATAGACAATCTCCCAATTAAAGGCCCTACCACCACATTCCCTGATGAGGAAGGACAACCTGCTGTTCTGGTAGAGAACTCAGGAATACAAAAATTTATTTGGTTACATGCCCTAGATGTTCATCGAATTATGCATCGCATCAAGGAAGCTGGTGCTACATTCTCAGCACTTAAGATTCAACTGTGCCTCCCAGAAGTCCTGATTGTTGGACAAACCTGTACCCCTGAAGGACGTATCCCTGACAAAACCAAGGTGGATAAGATTCTCAACTGGCCTGACTTGACAACCCCAAAGGAAGCCAGAGCATTCCTAGGACTGTGTGGTACTGTTCATATATGGATTCCTGGATACTCTACATTAGCAAGACCTTTAAGTGAGCTATGGAGAAAGGACATAGAATTCATTTGGGATGAAAGACAAAAGGAAGCCTTTGAGACATTGAAGAAATTAGTTGCTTCAGCACCAGCCCTCAGGTCAATCGACTATACCTCAGACTTACCAGTAATACTATCAGTAGACTCTAGCTACATGGCAGCAGGGATTATCTTATCTCAGATTGATGAGAATGGACGTAAGTGACCTGCGAGATACGGATCATTACCATTTAATGAAGTAGAATCCCGTTATTCTCAGCCGAAACTAGAACTATACGGACTTTACCGAGCACTTCGTCATTTCCGTCTATATATTATTGGTGTAAAAGTTCTCCATGTAGAAGTTGATGCCAAGTACATCAAAGGGATGTTAAATGAGCCTGACCTGCAACCAAATGCTGCCATCAATCGGTGGATTCAAGGAATCCTTTTATTCGATTTCATACTTATCCACGTACCTGCCACCAAATTCAAGGGACCAGATGCATTATCAAGAAGAGGTCTAGGAGAAGGAGAAAGTATTGACTTGCAGGATGACTCATGGCTAGATGATTTGGCATTATACAGTGGAGTTTCCCAAGCCTGCTTCCGAGCCACAGTATCACCGGATAACAACACGACCTCTCTCTTTGCAGTATTCATGGGAACAAGTTTTCAGGAGCAGAACCTAAAGGATGTTTTTAAATTCTTGACTACCCTAGAAACACCATCATTTGAAAGTATCTCGGCCAAGAAGAGATTTCTGAAGAAGGCTGTCAAGTTCTTTGTACAGAATGGAAGAATGTATAAGAGAATGCAGGCTAGACCACCCCTATTGGTAATCTTTGATCCGGAAAAGCGTGCGACTATTCTGAATCAGGCACATGAAGAACTTGGACACAGAGGAGAAGCTGCCACATGGGAAACAATTCGGCTTAGGTTTTTCTGGCCCTACTTATTTTCAGATGTACGGCATCATGTACAATCATGTCACCCCTGTCAGATACGAAGCACTAGAAAAATGCACATTCCTATCACTGTATCTACCCCATCTACAATATTTGCGAAAGTATACATCGACATCATGCATATGCCTCCAGCCCAAGGATTTAAGTATATTGTACTAGCAAGAGATGATTTGTCACGCTACGTGGAAGGGCGATCTCTCAAGGCACCCACTGCCAAGGCCCTTAGCAAGTTCTTTTGGGAAGATCTTTACTGCAGATATGGTGCTATTGGTCAGGTGACCACAGATAACAGACCAGAGGTACAAGGAGCATTTTCAGCCCTTATGAAGAGGGTGAATATCCCACATGTTACTATTTCACCCTATAACTCCCAGGCTAACGGAGTAGTTGAAAGAGGCCATTTCATATTGAGAGAAGCACTGGTAAAAGCATGTGATGACAACCTTATGCAATGGCCTCAGAAGATGAAGATCCCCCAAACTTTATTTGCAGATCGTGTCACCACAAGTCGGGTAACAGGATTCTCTGCCTTCTACCTAGTCCACGGAGTTCACCCAGTATTGCCATTTGACTTAGCAGAAGCAACATTCATGGTCGATGGATTTACAAGTGGAATGTCATCAGTTGAATTACTAGCACTAAGGATACGTCAGTTGGAAAGACGCCCTGAAGACCTAGAACAAGCAGCAGAAACACTGAAGAATGCTTGGTTCAAGTCAAAGGAGCAGTTTGAGAGGAGATACTCAAAGCGATTAAGACGAGAAGCATATGAGCCAGGAGATCTGGTACTTGTACGAAACACCCAAATAGAAAAGGAATTGAACCGAAAGACAAAACCCCGCTATCTTGGCCCATACAAAGTGGAGCGGAAAACTCAGGGAGGATCATATGTGTTAAGTGAGATGGACGGAACAATATCACGCTGCGGAGTGGCTGCATTTAGACTTTTACCATATATACCCAGAAATTCACAGCAACTACAAAGACTTTCCCAAGGAATCGGAGAAGCTGAGGAAGAAAGTTTTACCCCAGACCCTTAATGGAAGCCAATTATTCCCCACAGCAGCTAAAAGCCTGGTGTCACCAAGCTCGTAAGAACTTACTCAATATTACAGTTGTATGGGTAGGTCACGTACTGGAAAGACATATACAACAAGGAGGAAGTAGGGACATCTTGTTGGAACCTGGGAACGCATATCTTACATACCCATTAAGCCCAGAAGAACGGGACACATTACCAAATCACCCTAACTGGGTTTGCTCAATTTGCGCTACCTTAGAGCAATGGGCCCAGAATGCAGAAGCCCATCTGAAATAAATTGAAAGGATAGAAGTCCAGTCGTGGGTAACATTCTCATTAGATTAGTTTTCTTATTTTCCCCAAAGTTTTTTTTCGCAATGAACCGCATACCCGCCGAAGAATGCGTATTGCAGGAAACGCAAGCGGCCTGCCTAGTTTTGTTTATACATCATGTACATTGTTCACATTCAACCCTATTTTCCGGATACTTACAGACTATAATGGTACTATGGGATTTGGGATACCAGCGGCTTGTAAGGAGGCACTGCACCACATGTTACCTATTATTTCACTGGTTACTGCGTGTGGAGAGGCAAATGATTGAGCCGGAACCTAAATTAATGACAGAACCTTAATTTCGGCAACAGAAAGAATGTATACTTTAAAACCTAAAACCTTAGCGGCATTAATTAAACAGACAGCGCCCTTTTCATTTACAATTCATTAGGGGCCGGATAGCGGAACTTTCAAATTTTTCTCCTTTTGGTAATATTTTTCAATCCCTGAAGACCCTGTCCAGTCTTCATATAAAGGACGCCAAAAACTGGACACATTTTTCAGT